AAAATTAGTAGGAGACTATGCCCATGACCCATATTCTGTTTAGAGTATCATGGCACTCTTTATGAGTTGCCTTTCATGGCTTTAGTTGTAATATCACTTTTAGGCCTTTCCAATATCACAATTTTATGTTAGTATACAGAACAGTTATATTTCTTCTTCTTGGATCCTGAGTAGTGGGAAATTCTTCACTCTTGATATTGTGGAACAGGTTGATTTGGCTGTTTTTATTCAGATGGCTTAACTTCACATTTGTATTGCATTGTGTTCTGTATATTTCCTGATCACTATGAAAAATTGGGTCATGGATCTAAGCAGGTTTCACTTGAACCACTGTATGGTACCTGTAATAAGGACCCAAATTTTCATTTGATGCATGAGTAACTGAGTTCAGTAACTGAGTTTTTTAAAAATCCCACCTTAAAAGATATAAACTCTTCCAAAAGGATACACAAGACAAACCAAAATGCAGTAATAATAATGTCACATGGTAATATAGAAATATTACTAATCAGCAGCCTTCACACAGGGAGTTGACAATAAATGACCCTTTATAAGAGTTGTGTGACAGTCCAGCTAGACCAAATATCTGATGTCTTCTTTAACTTGCTCCTGTTTGAGAGAAATAGAAAAAATAGGATGAATGTATGTATCAAATTCAATACAGTGTCTCAGTATTTAATAGTGTTGCTGCATTACAAACAGTTGCATGAAAAGATGACTAGTCAGATAAAGTCACTACATTCTTTGTGTTCTTTGTTTTAGTAACAATGTTGCTGTTTTCTGATTTCCTAGTTAAAGGTCTATAAAATAGAAGTAAAAGAATTTAAATCTTATGTCCATCTATCTTTATGCAGTGGCAACATGTTATCTCCAGGGCATCTCCACATAAGGGAACTGGATAGTTCACAGCTTGTTCTACTCTATACTTCTTGGTGTGCTGTGAGAATTACTAATATATAAAGTTCTTTGAGTTTCACACTTTTTTCTTTATTGTTATATTGGTAGATGAGAGAGAGAGAAATCTGCTTTTAACAGAGTGTAAGAATCCACTTTTTAATCAGCAAAGCAGTTTCAAATGGATCAGACACATTCTTTGACATAATCTGTTAGTTTGCTGCATGTTAGGGTTGCACTGTTGTCCAGATAACACAAGGCTTTCCAGTGCAATAAAATCAAAATGTTATTAAAATAACAAAAATGAATACCGTATATTTCACTGCTCGTGGAGAGCTTCTTCTAGTAAGTTTTTAGTGTTGTTAGAACTGATTTATACACATTGTTAGTACATTTGCCTGGACAAATATTTACAAATGAAGCAATAGTACTGTACTGTTAAGGCCTGGAGAAAAAAACAGTTGTAGGAATGGGATAAAAATAATCCAGATTATCTGTGGCCATTGAGATTCATAGATCAGTGCAGGCTGATAGTTGAAAAGGGATCAATATGCTGCCGCTGCTGCTGTTCTGTGCCATCTTGTCCCCCATTAACAGGACCCCCAGTTATTCTTTCATCTAGACTAGATGGTCCGCTGTTTATACTAGTTGAGGAATGAAATTAAGACCAACAGCATGCAAGGTAGTCATTTTGATACACTTGGATGACTTCCGTGGTCTGTTGCAAAATATTGTTACAGGAGTCTTAAAATGTTAAAGGCAACTGAGCATGAGTTTAAATTCTAAAAATAAATAAATAAAAATGGGAATGTAATTGACCTTTTCAGTGCCATCATATTCTTAGGGAGGTAGGGGGACAGGGCTATGTGCAGGTGGAGGTTGAATAGTTGTCTTTTTAATTCTACACTGACAGGTTTTGGGAGTGAAGAGAAGGGAAAGGGGCGATCTTCTCTCAAGTGGAGTCAAGGTGGCTTACATTAATAAAAACGAAAAATATAAAAACTGGAAAGGGAGACGAAAAAGAAACAAACAACAAACAAAGCCGGCCACTCAACTGTTAGGCAGCCAGCTACTGAAGAGAAAAGTCTTATGATTGTATATTGAAGAAATTGACAATTTGGAAAATTATTCTTGTATTCTGTTTTCATCTGTTCAATGAATTTTTACATCTTTTTTAAAATGAAACATTTGATTTACAAATTCTGCTTATTATTTTATATATAGCAGTCATAAATTATTGTATTTTATTTATGTTCAGTGCTGTGGTGTGTGGTTTATGTAGTCCCATGAAAATAAGCAAAAGTGTATTTCACCAGGAACATGCTTACTTTCAAAAGGACAGTGTAAAGTTAGCGCTTAGCTGAAGTAAAGTTATAGTATAAAAAGAAATTGTGATTGTTTATCGTGATAATCCAAGAGAAGGAGCCCCTGTTCACAAATATCCTGAAACTTAATGAAGGTGGTGGTGGTGGTTGGTTGTGTAGTGGCGCATACAAGTAGAGAAGGTATGCTGAGCATCTCAGGTATAATTTTAAGTCATTTTGGTTTCCATGGAAGTATTAGGAATGTGCTTTCCTCACCTGTTTGAAAGTTTGGAGTACTGCATTTCAATTTCTAGAGATCTGAATAGTTTTAAAATACTGGCTGAAATCCTATTGCCATAAGTTATGGCCACCTATGGCTGATTTTTCAGAAATAAAATATTTCTCAGTCCTACCCCCCACAGCCCAAGGTCCTAAGGCTCCCGTGTAGTTCCTCTCACTGGAAGGAAACTGTTAGGAGCTGTGGGACTGGGAAAAAAAATTACCGTATTTTTTGCTCCATAAGACGCACCGGACATTAAGACACACTTAATTTTTAGAGGAGGAACACAGGGAAAATATATTCTGAACCAAATAGTGTAATAAAATATTTAATAAACTATAACAGAATAACATTTGAACCATGTAAAGTGAACAGCAGTCAACAGTGGCATTAATATAGACCATTATCAGCCAGTGATAAGACCTATACCTATATTTTACATTTCCTTTGATCCACCTCCTCCCCATGCTTATAAAAATGTCTCAATGACAGATGAGATTGTTGTGCAACTCTGCCCATCTACAGCTCAAGCCTATATTAAGTTAGAAATGGTTTGTCTGATTTGGCACTGCATTGAGAGGTCCCTTTTAGTTGTGTGGAGGATAAATAGTGGAATTAAACTATTTAACAGCTGGTTTTCCTTATTTACTTTAGGTTATGCAAAAGAACAGCAACACAAAGCTTAAACTGATCCCATTCACCAGCAGTAGCACATGCTCAGCATAAGACCAGATCTTGTGTTTCTGACATAATTGAACATTTATAGCATGCAAGGCACAAAGGTTAGGCCACACAAAGCCAAAGAAACTGAATACAAACTATAGTGCCTGAAATCATTAAGCAGGTACTGTAATCCAGTTAGAAGTCACGAGGCACAGTTAGTTTCCTTGCTGCAACACCCTTAGGAAATACTGTACATTCTCTATTAGATGCCCAGAACTAGTTGAAA